AAACCGACATCTCCGTTTCAGCAGCAGCGAGAGGGAGCGCTGCCAAGCGCACCCCCTTTGCAGTGGGTCCGCGCACCCCGGGCTGCCCGCGGGGAGCCCCGGGCCCTGCCCCACGCCGCGCAGGTCCCGCGCGCGCCCCTGCGCCTGTGCGGGGACACGGTCCCCGTGGGCACCCGGGGCGAGAGACCTGTCCTGCGGTGGGAGACAGGGCGAGCGGGACCTCGCGCCAGGGCCAAGGGCTCGCCTGAAGCTGAATTCCATTTTAAAGCAGATCCCTCTCCCCCCACGCCGCCTCATCAGGGAAAGCAACCAAAGACAGCAACCAAACAAAACATTAACCGAACAACAAGCGCCGAGCCCGGCCCTCCGCAGAGCCGCACACTGAACGGATCTGCCCGTACGGTTTTAATTACGGCCAGGGCTCCGCTGCAGATCCGCGCCGGAGACAGTGGCTGCTTCCCCCTGGATGCCCCCGCTCCCGGCTCCTATTGCTGCCACCACGTGCTCCGCACCCGCGCAGGAGCCTCGGAGCCCGCCTGCCCGCGAGGCGCTGAGCGCCGCGGGGCCCCCGCGCGCAGCCCCGCAGCCGCAGGGTCACTAGGAGTCGCGGGCAGGCGGAGAGGGAGCCTGTGTTTTGAGGTAAACAGGGGGAGAGAAGCTCTCGGCAGAGCCGGAATCCTGCCTTAGCCTCTCTCCGCAGGGTAGCGCGCAAGTTCTGCGCCTCCCGGGGGAGCCGCTCTGCAAACGCGTCTCGGGTGGCCACAGGGCGATGTGCTTTGGCTTTCCACCTCTCTAGGTATTTTTTTTTTCCCCAGCACTTTACAAGGCACTCCAACCGCTCCTCTGAGACCTTTTTGATTCCCTCGATCTCTCACAAATTGTCCGTCCTGCCGCTACACCAAAAAAAAGCAGACATGGGTCAGTAATCTTGGTCTCTCAACATCTCGCTGTCCCGCTTCAAAATCGCATCGCGCGACCTGCTCCGTACACGTACATAGGCTTGTATAAAAACGTGTATGCACTAATATCACTCCTGAAATGGGCTCCTCTTCCACTTTTCCAGCCGTCCTTGTTGGGGTAGGGCAGAAAATCCTGCCCCCACTGCTCTGTGAACCGGACAGAGGGGATATTCCCCCCTCGTGCGCTCTATCCCGTGCCATCCCACGTCGCGGGAGAGAGCGCAGAACGGAACGAGGATATCTGCTCTCCCTGAGTGTTTTTCCTGCTCGAGTGAAGGAAGGAAGAGAACGGAAGGTGCTTCGAGGCACATAGGAAACCTCTGGCCGCTTATATTAACTTCCTATTATATCCTAAAAATAGACCCCCGTTTCCTGTTGCTCGTCAGCTCCTAGTAGCTGTTGTGTCTGTTGTGTGACATCTCTCGAGTCACAAATGTGATTTTAAACCACACACGCACACACACACTTTGTCTTTGAGGAGCGCTGGCCCTGCGCGCCGTTGACTCGAGGTGACACGGGGAGCAGAGCGCGGAGTCACCGCGTCCCGGCCGCGCCCCGCGCGCGGTGCGCGCTGCCCCGGGGCCGCGCGTGACCGCGGCC